CAGGACCTACCACGAGAAAGTAGCGATCATCATCATCATCATCATCTTCAGCCTCACCATCTTCATCATCATCATCATCGAAACTGCATCAGGATCTCCAGAAAAGCTCCTCAGGTGAAAGCACAGCAGAAACAGTAGCAAGTCAACGAGTGAACCTGTGTAGGCGAACTTCTACGAGTCTGCTGAATCGGCGGTTCTCCCTGTAGCAAGTTCTACATAAGGGCCCTGATGTTCTGCAACACAGCATTTCCGAACGGCAGACCTTTCCTGCCGACCCCTCCCTAAAAGTTCCACCTGGAGGATCCTGGAAGCATAAACTTGGGGAAAAGGCCTCCTGCGCCAGCTGCACGTCTGTCACCTCCTCCACGAAGCGATTAGGCCTGACATTTACATAATCTGTCATGGGAAGCGGCGCAACCGTTATAATCGTTGTGCTCAGCATCGTCACGGACGTTACCGTCACCATCATCGATTGCAGAGTGGTTGACATGATGGTATAAATGCCATGCCAGACTAAATTAGAGACGGATATGCAGAACGCAATACAGAGGTCCTAAAGCCACTTTCGGGTCAGTAGATTCGGTGCCGGCTTCCGTACGCTGAACACAAAGGAAAGTGTTCAGTTAAGCCTTCGGAAGGGCTGGTGGACCGTACGGGCTTTATGTAACATGCACTCCACAGCCAGAGCAAGTCGCATGCTAAGTTCGGGGCACCAAGACGATGTGCTTGGGAACCACGGGACGAGGATGAAGCACCGCCAGGTGGGACTCTTCCTGCGGACGGTTTCTAAAACTAGTAGAAATAAAAAGAGTAGTAGTAGGAGTAGTAGCAGTAGTAGCAGTAGTAGTAGAAGTAGAAGTAGAAGTAGAAGTAGAAGTAGAAGTAGAAGTAGAAGTAGAAGTAGAAGGAGAAGTAGTAGTAGTAGTAGTACTAGTAGTAGTAGTAGTAGTAGTAGTAGTAGTAGGTAGTAGTAAGTAGTAGTAAGAGTAGTAGTAGTAGTAGTAGTAGTAGTAGTAGTAGCAGCAGGAGTAGTAGTAGTAGTAGCAGTAGTAGTAGTTACGAGTACTAGTACCAGTACTAGTACTAGTACTAGAACTGGTACTAGTACTCGTACTAGGTATGTACCAGGACTACTAGTAGTAATACTAGTACAAGAAGAGCTGCGATAGCTTGACGAGGAATACAGGTGCAGCAGGAGTAAGAGTACTCGTTGTCGCAGCATCCAAGACTATAGCTGCCAGGCGAAGCAATTCGACATGCTGGCAGCTGAAAACCAGAAGCTGGGTTCTTGTTCAGGAACTTAGTTTAGGTTCGCATGTTAAGGAACAGCGGTAAGTGATGTGGCTCCTTGTTTATGGTTATGTACATACAATGTCTTAAGACCCTATAAGATACTTGCAACATGGCATGAAATCGCAGGGAAGCGTCATGAAACCTAATTCCCCAACACAAACCCAGGAAGGTTCAGCAAGAGTTGGCCGAAATCCAGGGTATGATGGACGAGGGCTTTGCCAAAACGCAGGAGCATCTTCCGATTTCGGGGTTTAGGGCTGCTGGGTTTAGGGCTGTGGGGATGTGGGTTTGGGGTTTTTGGTGTAGGGTTTCGGATATTGGTGTTGCGGTTCAGGGCTGACAGACCGCAGGAGCAGCTCTTTGCAATGGATACGGCTGCTGCGAACCGTACTGGCGAGCAGACCAAGCAGATCTTCGAGAAGATCGATGCATCTGAGTACGAATTGCTAGGGTACAGTTACAAAGAGTAAGAAGCGCATCGAAGCGAATGTCCACAATCCACCGTTAAGGCCTCTATCCGCGAAGCCAAAGATCCGAAGCCCCAAACAGCCCTAAACCCTCAACCCTAAACCGGAGGCATCCCAGAAGGAGCAGAATGCCCGCCTGGCTTACATGATGCAAGCCGCGCAGTGCGACAACGAGCTTCAGACCAAGGAGTTGAAGGTGGGCACACGGCCCGAAACCCTAAACCCTAAACCCTAAACGGTAGGCTTTAGGGTTTAGGGTTTCGGGTTTAGGGTTTAGGGTTTAGGGTTTAGGGGTTTAGGGGTTTAGGGGTTTAGGGTTTAGGGTTTAGGGCTTAGGGTTCCATGGCTCATACAGCTTCAACCCTAAACCCTAAATCCTAAACCCTAAACCCTAAACCCTAAACCGCTTCTATAGGGTTTAGGAGTTTGCATCGGTTTTGCGCTGCGGATCTAGAGCTGGAGGCTGAGGGGATCGGGATCCTGGGCCCTTTGAAAGGTTAAGGGGGTTTGGGCTTTGCGCATTTAGAGTTTAGGGTTTAGGCATTTAGGGTTTAGGGTTTAGGCATTTAGGGTTTAGGGTTTAGGCTTTGCGCATTTAGAGTTTTTGGTTTAGGCATTTAGGGTTTAGGGTTTAGGCATTTAGGGTTTAGGGTTTAGGCATTTAGGGTTTGGGGCATTTAGGGTTTGGGGTTTAGGCATTTAGGGTTTAGAGTTTAGGCATTTAGGGCAGGGTTTAGGCTTTTAGGGCACGGCCTATGGCCAGTGCCGTGTGCACGAAACCCCAAAACCAAGGACACCAAGCTCGCCTACGGAGAACTCTGTGGTAGGAGGGTTCCTATCAGGAGCCTCCCAGAAACCCTATACTTACTTGTGCTAGGTTCTTCAGTACCCAACCTTTCAACTGTTGGTGTTCTTATAGCTTAGTAACTACCTGAAAGTTTACCCTTTTGTTTCCCTGGCTTATTGGGGAAGTACGTGTGCGATCCTATGTGAGTCTTATGAGCTGGTAGCTGTGGTTTATGAGCTTTGGGGTTTCGGGGTTGGGCTTCACGGGCTTCGGGTTTAGACATTTGGAGAAGTCAGTGCTTCGCAGCAGTGTTATGTCCTGATCCCTACAAGCGAAAAGCCCTAACCCCAAATACTGTGGGCTTAGGGTTTAAGGGTTTAGGGTTTAGGGTCGTGTCCATGTTTCCTCCTCAGCAGCGTGTCGACCCTGATACCCTACAAACCCTTTACCCTAAACCGTACTCTCGCTAGCAGCCTCTACTCAAAGCTCGAATCCCTACCCTAAAGTCCTGGACGCCTCTACTCAAAGCTCGAATCCCTACCTTAAGGTGCCGTGTCTCCTAGGGCCGAAGGGATGTTGGCCTGCTGTGAAGGACTTCGTTTCCAACGGCCTCGACAACTTGCAGAACGCTGTGCTCAGTGGAACAGGAGGGTTTCGGGTTGCGGGAGCTTCATGGAATAAGGGACCCTGACTCCTACAACCCAAACACGTCAACCCTATCATGGAGCCCTTCCTTATTGCAAAGAACCCTGCCACTCTAAACCCTAAACCCGAAACCCTAAACCCTAAGCCCCAGGACAGCAAATTGATGCAGCCGTCTCGAAGATGCAGGCCCGGTTCCACCACGCCCCGATTAGAAAAAAAAAAAGGTTAAACTCTCAGATTGCTACTAAATTATAAGAACCCCAACAAATCTAAAGGTTGGGTATTGGGGACCTAAGATATTGGGGGTTGACGTTTAGGTAAATGTCTGGCTTTTGGGTTGGGGTTTTTCAGGCATTTCGAGGCAGAGGGTTTTATGCTTTAGGCTTTGGTGTTTTGGGGGTTTGCATCCCCGGAACGTAGCAAATCAGTGGCATGTTGGAGGCGGTGGTACTTATGGCTTCAAGACACAACCCTAAACCTAAACCCTAAACAAGTAAAGAACCCTTATAGATCCCTGGATGTGTTATAGAGATGCATGTCAGGGCTCCTTTAGTTTAGGTGTTCCTGAAGCGCTTTTTCTACGACCTTTGAAGCAGGATGCCATGGCGAAGAGTCAGCGCGCGATCCAGACACAGATGGCCCAAGGATTCAGTGACTTTTCGGGGTATTACAGGGACTGAAATTTTCTGGTAGAGTTGGTCACCTTTAACCTCTTTGGGGTACGATAGTAGCTACCTTTTAGGGATATTGTGGGGTGCTTCTCGTATAGGGTTTAGGGCCTCGTAGTAGTACTGTTGTGGGCAATTGGAATCCCTATTATAATCCCCTATGACACTAAACCTCTAAACCCTAAACCCTAAACCCTTATAATCCCCTATGACACTACACCTCTAAACCCTAAACCCTAAACCCTTATAATCCCCTATGACACTAAACCTCTAAACCCTAAACCCTAAACCCTTATAATCCCCTATGACACTAAACCTCTAAACCCTAAACCCTTATAATCCCCTATGACACTAAACCCCTAAACCCTAAACCCTAAACCCTAAACCCTAAACCCCAAACCCCTATGACACTGGACAACTAAGGTGATGTGACGCAAACGGTTACGGAAGGCTTCGACGAAATGCAGCGGCTGGGCTTCTGAGTACCATACTTTGATACGTTTTTGGGGACCTGCTCCTTAAAGGAACGATTGGGTTTAGGGTTTAGGGTTTAGGGTTTAGGGTTTAGGGTTTAGGGTTTAGGGTTCAGGGTTCAGGGTTTAGGGTTTAGGGTTTAGGGTATGAAATAAAAGTCTATCCTGGTTACTTCAAAGCCCAGGAAGAAGCTGGACGCGAACAGGAAAGCTGTCCAAAAGCAGCTGACACAGCGTTTCGACAAAGTCGACCAGCATCTCGTGAAAGTACAAGGACTGCAAGAGACATCTTGATTGAGTCTAATTAAGCGGTCAGGGTTTAGGGTAGGGTTTAGGGTCTAGGGTCTAATGCTTCGCCGCACGTGCACCTGGCATTGACATCCAAGCTACACTGCCCCTGTAAGGACAACTCGATGTAGCGCTGAAGAACATCGACGTCGTCGACAATAGGAGCGCTTATGTGGTGCTTCAGCCGTTCATAAACACCGCGAGTCAGTTTTGGCTGGGGATTAAATCCGAAATCCTACATGTTAGAAATTATAGGTTATAGGTCATTGCTATATATATATATATATACGATGTATTATATGACCCGGGAAGGATCAAGGATCTGGCAAAGCAGAGCAGCAGGCAGTTCGAAGAGCTCCGTCATGGACAGCAAAGGCAAATGACCGCTCTCCTGGCAGTCGTCCAGAAGCTCGAGGTGGGGGTTCAGGGTTCAGGGTTTAGGGTTTAGGCTTTAGGGTTTGGGGTTTAGGATTTAGGGTTTAGGGTTTAGGGTTCAGGGTTTAGGGTTTGGGGTTTAGGGTTTGGGTGTCGTCCAGAAGCTCGAGGTGGGGGGTCTAATGTCGGGGCCTAATTAGTTAGAGTAGGGCTCCTTCAAAGGGTTACTATAAGGGTTATTATATAAGGGTTCTATAAGGGTCTAATATAGGGGTTCAGGGTTTAGGGTTTCCGAAAATAGGGGACCCTAAGACAATACCCTAAATAGTAGGATCCTTATTATAAGGACCCCCAAAATAAGGTCTAAACCCCAACCTCCTAAACCCTATGCCCTAAACCCTAAACCCCTAAACCCTAAACCGCTAAACCCTAAAGCCTATACCCTCAAAACCCTAAGCCCGAAATAAGAGGTACCCCTTTTACCCTAAACCCTAAACCCTAAACCCTTTTTTTTCGGGCAGCACCCCAGGTCTTGGAAGAGAAGATCGACGACATCCCCGTGGCTGTCAGAGAATCGCGCTTTCAGGACAGGAGAGTTTAGGATTTAGGGTTTAGGGTTTAGGGTTTAGGAGACCCAAAGGCTCCATGTACCTTTATAGTAGATACTTTGGCCTTAAAGTACCTATATAGGGACCCCTTTAAGGCCTAAGTATCTACTATAAAGGTACATGGAGCCTTTGTGAGAGGGATGGCATGGAGAGGAAGCCTTGGTGCGAAGGTTAGAAGTATTAGGGTTTAGGGCTTAGGGTTTAGGGTTTAGGGTTTTGGGGTTTAGGGTTTAGGGTTTTGGGTTTCGGGTTTTGGGTTTAGGGTTTTGGGGTTAAGGGTTTAGGGTTTGGGGGTTTGGTATGGGCCCCTAATATGGGCCCTGAGGCCTTTCTAGGGACCCTTACAGGTACATGTAGGGTATAAAGATCCCAGGGTTAAGGGCCCAATGCTAGGGGCCCATGGGTTCAACCTTTAATTAATTGGTTCCATCAGCTCAACCTAAGGACGTTTGTAGGCCCTGCTTTGCTGCATCAAAACTCTAAAGCCATAAACCCTACACCCTATCTGGGTAGTTCTCTAAACCAGGGTCCCTTTTCGGGGGCGTTTTTATGAAGAGTGCCGTACTATGTTGGGGACCTAAAGACCCTCATTTAGAGAACTACCCTTGCAGTACCCCTATAGACACCCTATAGAAACCATTATAGATCCCTTTACGGAACCCAAAGAAGGGACCCTAAGGTGACAACTACCCTTGTAGTAACCCTATAGACACCCTATAGAAACCATGATAGATCCCTTTAACCCTAAACCCTAAACGCTAAACCCTAAACCTTTACGGAACCCAAAGAACCCATCTGACTTACATAGCCGAACAAGCTTACCCTAAACCCTAAACCCTAAACCCTTCAACGTATCAGCCCTAAAGGTCCCAGAGACGAAGATCGGAGTTTAAGGTTTGAGGTTTAGGAGGGTTTAGGGCTTAGGGTTTAAGGCTTAGGAGGGTTTAGGGTTTAGGGTTTAAGGCTTAGGAGGGTTTAGGGTTTAGGGTTTAAGGTTCAGGAGGGTATAGGGTTTAAGGTTTAGGAGGGTATAGGGTTTTGGGTTTAAGGTTTAGGAGGGTTTAGGGTTTAGGGTTAAAGCCCGTAAACCCTAAACCCAGCTAGGACTTCATCTATGAGTTTGAGAAGCTGTCGCTGGCGCTCATGGACCTCTTCAAGCAGGTCGAGGCAGGCATGGCGGCAACGAGCTTAGGGTTTAGGGTTTAGGGAACCTCTACTTTAGGCTAGAGTCTAGAACTTAGGCGTTGACGGATTTAAGGTTGCGGGAAAAGGGGGTTTAGGGTTCAGGGCCCGATATTCTTTCCTAAATGTTCAAGCTCCTAGTTTATTCCCTGGTTATCGAGACGTTTCCAACTACGGCTTCTATCCTAAATGCGCAGCAACACCCAGTAGATTATACTTCGGGAGACGTGGGGTTTTGGGGTTTAGGATTTTAGGGTTTAGGGTTTAGGGTTTAGGGTTTAGGGTTTAGGGTTTAGGGTTTAGGGTTTAGGGTTTAGGGTTTAGGGTTAGGGGTGTAAGATCTAGGATTTCAGGGTGGGGTTAGCTGTAGTAGGACGAAACGTGTCTTTCAACGTTTGTCTGCGCACTGCCACAGGATTTCTCAGCCAAGAGGCGTGCGGATCTGGAGCACATGAAGACTACCCAACTCTCCTACCAGTCTTGCGGTAGCCAAATCGAAGATGTGCAGCTCGGTACTATAGGAGCCGGAATAATTACCAATTTTGGCGGTTCCCTCATATACCCTAAGGGTCCATGTACCCATATAGTGTATACAATGGCCCCAAGGTACCTATATAGGGACTACATTAAGGCCAAAGTATATACTATTTGGGTACATGGACCCTTAGGGATAACCCTAAACCCTAAACCCTAACCCCTAAACCCCTAAAACCCTAAACCCTAAACCCTAAACCCCTAAACCCCTAAAACCCTAAAACCTGGACCCTAAACCCTAAATGTAACTACACGATAAAGCAGCCCAACACCCCTACTCCAAGTATTCACGCCCCTACATTAGAAACTTGGGGGCCTTAGAGCTCCTCTATAATAGTGCTCTTTTGGGTTTAGGGCTTGGGGCTTAGGGTTTAGGGCTTAGGCCTTAGGGTTTGGGGTTTAGGGTTTAGGGTTTAGCCCTGAGGCCTTAGGGTTTAGGGTTTAGGGTTTAGGGTTTAGGCTGGTAATACAGAAACCAAGGATCCAGGCAACAAAGGCGGTGAAGGAGTCCTCTGCTCAAGCCGTGGCGCTGCTTCAGAAACTGGGCTTTGGAGTACCATACTTTAATACTTTTTTTGGGACCTGTTCCTTAAAGGAGCCATTATTAAATAAAAGTCTATACTTTTTTCTCCCTGGTTACTTCAAAGCCCAGGAAATCGTTCAAAGAGGCCGTTCTGCGGTTCGCAGAAACTAGGTCCCACAGTAGCACTCTACCCTTTTCCTTTTTTTTGTGTTTTATTTTTTGGTCTCCCTATCACAGTGAACACTCGGAAACGGGGAGCGCTTATTCTGTAACCCTAAACCCTAAACCCTTAACCCTTAAACCCTTAAAGCCCTTAAAACCCTTAAAACCTTAAACCCTGAACCCTAAACCTTGGTTCTTGGGGACCTAGGAAATCACGATCCTGGCCGTGGACAGTGGCTTCTCGAAGATGCACTTCGATGCATTGGCAGAGCAGATCGCCGAGGAACGGTTTAGGGGTTTAGGGTTTAGGGTTTAGAATGCCAGGGTTTTAGGGTTTAGGGCTAAAGCTTAAAGCCCTAAGCCCCCAAACAATCGAAAGAACGCCCTGAACGAACAAGAGACATAAATATGTATATTCATGTATATATATATATATATATGTGTGTGTGTGTGTGTCTACCAGTGTGGGTATATATACATATTACAAATGTACATATTTATATACACATAATATACATATATATATATATATATATGCGTATATATATATATATATATATCCATATTTTCTGATAACATGTTTATACCTACACACACATATGTTGTATGTTTGTTTGTTTGTTTGTTTGTTTGTTTGTTTGCTTGTTTGTCTGTCTGTCTGTCTGTCTGTCTGTCTGTCTGTCTGTCTGTCTGTCTGTCTGTCTGTCTGTCTGTCTGTCTGTCTGTCTGTCTGTCTGTCTGTCTTGTGTCTTGTCGTGTCGTGTCGTGTCGTGTTGTGTTGTGTTGTGTGGTGTCGTGTGGTGTCGTCTCATGTCGTCGTGGTGTGTTGTGTTGCGCCGCGTTGCGGTGCGGTGCGGTGCGATAAGGGTGGGGTGGGGTGGGTGTGCAAGTAAGTAAGTAAGTCAGTAAGTAAGTAAGTAAGTAAGTAAGTAAGTAAGTAAGTCAGTGAGTGAGTGAGTGAGTGAGTCAGTAGGTAAGTAAGTAAGCAAGCAAGCAAGTAAGTATGTAAGTAAGTAGGTAGGTAAGTAAGTACGCAAGTAAGTAAGTAAGTAAGTAAGTAAGTAAGTAAGTAGGTAGGGAGGTAGGTAGGTAGGTAGGTAGGTAGGTAGGTAGGTAGGTAGGTACGCAAGTAAGTAAGTAAGTAAGTAAGTAAGTAAGTAAGTAAGCATGTAAGTAAGTAAGTAAGTAAGTAAGTAAGTAAGTAAGTAAGTAAGTATGCGAGTATGTAAGTAAGTCAGTAAGTAAGTATGTAAGTAAGTAAGTAAATATTCAGGTAAGTCAGTAAGTAAGGAAGGAAGTAAGTAAGGAAGGAAGTATAAGTAAGTATGTATGTATGTTCCCCAACAGTCCTGCACCTTGACTTCAATCCTAGAAGTCCCACAGCATCCCGCGGAGGACCTGCGAGCAAACGAGTCCGAAAAGGACCTCTTCCTGAGTCATGAGAGCCTCAGTAGGAGCTTAGTAATTAGAAATTTGGAGGAGTTCAGGATTCACGGAGGTGCATAGTTGAGTTGTTTGAGTTTAAGGGTGTCGGGTGTTTGAACTCTGTGTTTTTTTTTTGTTTGCGATGTTTTTTGCCCAATGAACTCCAGAACTAAGGAGTCTGAAAAGTGTCATTGTGGCAGATCAGGAGGCTCGATGGGGCTTCGAGTTTTGGTGTCTAAGGCTCGGTGTTTTTGCGTTTTAGGCGTGCGTGCATTAGGTTCGCAGACCTTGCATGAAGCCTTGAGAAAGACTTCAGCGGCAGGCGTGCAGACTGGATGTCTGATAAGTCCGGTCGGGACTTTTCGGGCTTCAGGGTTCTACTTGAAGGATCATGGGACTTAGTAAGTAAGGTTATAAGTCCCTGAATTGGGGGTATAAGTAAATATAAGTATAGTTACCTTAATTATAACCCTACTTACTAAGTCCCATGATCCTTTAAGTAGGAGCTGCAGAGTTCAGGGTTTGTCTCTGTCAGTTCTGCACTTTGCTTGGGGCGTTGATTGGTATTCAGACAGACCCAACATGCAGTCATGTTGTGCAAGCCCTAGAGTACTTAAAGGATCATGGGACTTAGTAAGTAGGGTATAATTAAGGTAACTATACTTATATTTACTTATAACCCCACTTAAGGGACTTATAACCTTACTTACTAAGTCGCATGATCCTTCAAGTAGAGCACTGCAGAAGCAGCACATCTGGTCTGCATAATTTGTAGTCGCGTCTTCTGTTCATCCTTCGAAGATTACGTACACTTGGAGGGACCCTCAACCCGATTCCGATGGTTGAGTCCACGATACGAACGGATGGCAACATGTCGGTTATGGATGTCGAACAGTTTGGACCGCTCTGGAAATTGGTTTCAGTCATTCTAAAACCTAAACCCTATTCCGGCTTTTGGGACCCAGATGCGCAATCTTGACACATGACCCCAACCTTCACCCTTAAAGCCTAAGCCAAAACCCCCAACCCCGACCCCAGAAACCCGAAAACAAACCCTACTCCCTGGATGCTTCGGGCAAGGTTGAGGGCCCCAACCATAGAATACTGAAGCCTACTCCCTTGTGGGGAGTTCGCCTTAAAGAGTCCCCCCGATAGTCCCTAGGTCTAAATATGGTAGAACTGCACAAATCCTGATTCTTTTCAATAAGACTCCTATATCAAACCCTCTTGCAGGCTTATAAAACCTGACGCAACCCTGTAAGACCCTGTTGTGAATGTCAGGCCCCTGTAAAGGATACCCCTTGTGAATGAACCCGTTGTGGCAACACTTTCAATAAGAACTCTTTTGCAGGGAATCCGTTGTATCGAAATTCTTGTCGAGGGAGCCCTGTTGTGGACTGCCTTTTAGGGGCTTCTAGGCCCTAAGCCCTAAACCCCTAAACCCAAAACCCTAACTTCTCATTTCTAGGTCCTCCATGGAGCGGATGTCACGGAGAAGTGTGCCGCAGCCTGCAAGCCGAAGGATGTCACCAGTCTCCGACCGTGCCAGTGTCTCCCGGCATCCTGAGATTAGGTTTAGGGTTTAGGGGCTTGGGGTTTAGGGGTTTAGGGTTTAGGGGTCAGGGGCTTAGGGGTTCAGGGGTTTAGGAGTTTAGGGGTTAGAGGTTTAGTCTAGGGGTTTAGGGGTTTAGGGGTTTAGGTGTTTAGGGTTTAGGGGTGGGGTGTTTAGGGGTTAGAGGTTTTGTGTTTAAGGTTTAGAGGTTTCGGGGTTTAGTATAGGGGCTTAGAGGTTTAGAGGTTAGGGGTTCAGGGGTTTAGGGTTTAGGGGTTTAGGGTTTAGGGGTTTAGCGGTTTAGGATTTAGGGTTTACCTATAGTCTCCATTGTAGTTCGTTTTTTGGGTTTAACAATCTATATATATATATATAGCTATTTATTTATTTATTTATTTATTTATTTATTTATTTATATATTTATATTTATATTTATATTTATATTTAATAAGAATATTATAGTTTAGGGGTTTAGAGGTTTAGGGGTTTAGGGGTTTAGGGTTTAGGGTTTGGAGGTTTAGGGGTTTAGGGGTTTAGGGCTTAGGGTTTAGAGGTTAGGGGTTTAGGGCTTTGGGTTCACGGGTTAGTAGGAGTTGCAAGACGGGTTATGTAAGTGGAGCGGCCCTATTGGGTGTAGGAGCATCGGGCTTTAGGATGTGAGGGCTTCGAACACAAGATACCTGCAGTCTCCCTTGTAGTTCTTTTTTGGTCTAACCAATTTTCCTGTAAGGTAACACCCAAAAGGGACTTCAATCGAATTATGGGTAAGGGCAAAATCCAGAAACTTTCAAGCTATGAGCCGTGAATGGCGAGGTTCGGATGGCCGACACCCTTTGCGGCAGGTATCGGGCAAGTATCTGTTCACACCCGTCGCAGCCGACATGCTTTTGGACTGGGCAAAGGCAGCGCTGGACGATGTCCCACTCAAGTTCTCAATCAGTCTCAAGGATCTCTACATGCAGATCTCCTACATGCATCGCAAGTTCGCATCCTGGGGCTTGCAGTCGCCGGACGAGCAGAAGCAGTTCGACGCTGACTGGGAAAGGATGGCCTTCGACTTCGAGAACATTCGCAAGAGCTATGCGATGGTGGATTCCACGGAACGCGCCGTCGTGGGAAAGTTGCAGCTCTCCAGCCGGCTATTGGATGCCACTCTTCAGCTGAGTTTAGGGTTTAGGGTTGTTTGTGAAATTGTTTCTTCGAGGCTTTTTGTGAAATTGTTTCTTCGAGGCTTTCTCTATAACTCCACTGTAGCCTGTGATGGAACGAAGCGGACCACCGAAACCCTCAACTAGCAGAAGCCCTAAACCCTAAACCCTAAACCCTAAACCCTCAAACCTTTCTTTTCTTAAGCCCTGGAAAATCCTCGAAGCTACACCCGAAGCTCCCCCTAGACCCTAACCCTAAACCCTAACCCCCAAACCCTAAACCCTAAACCCTAAACCCAAACCCCTAAACAGTATGCGGACCCTGGCCTGCCAGAGCCGTTCGAGGTGGGCGCGCTTCTTGTGGATCTTGCCGGCCTCAAAGCCAGGCCGCAGATCGGTAGATTGTGCGACTTGGGGTTTAGGGCAAGGTCCCCATACTGTTTAGGGTTCAGGGTTTGGGGTTCAGGGTTGAGGCTTGAGGGTTGAGGGTTCAGGGTTCAGGGTTCAGGGTTGAGGGTACAGGTTTCAGGGTCGAGGGTTTAGGGCGTTCGCAAAGTTTAGGGTCGATTTTGGCCCTGCTGGGAAGAGACAGGGGAGCCTCGTGTGCATGAAGGTCACCAGCAGTCCGGGTGCTCACATGGCACATATCGCACCTGGCAAGAGGCAACGGGAGATCCATGGACTCGGAGAACACCGCGGGCCGGGCCTGAAGCTGAAGGGTCCCTGCTTCGACTGTCCAGGGTCGCAGCAGTACCTCGCTGATCAGACGAGGGTTTAGGGATGTTCACAGGTTCAGGGTTTAGGGTATGGGCAGTATAGGCTCATACAGAACCCAGGTGCACCTCAAGCACGTATCAAATTTCTTCTAGGACTGGTCCCCCCCCCCTCCTCCCCCAGAGCCTCCACGAGGAGGCTGCTTCCAGAGCGAGCCTGCGGCTACAGTGCAGGGTTGCTCGGAGCTTCGAACTCACACTCTACTTGCAACTCCCCTCTGCTGCAGAGCCGCATCTGCACCATTTACCGTAGCGCCTACCATACCAGCTGTCAAGGCAAAGGTCGAAAGGTGTTCGAGATGAGAAACTTCGTCCTTGTGGGGGTCACAGGTAGGTTCAGGCGTTGCCCTTCGCTGTACCCTACAAACAGCTCCGGCATACAGGACTCATCACATGACATCTGCGCAGATGCGGCTTGGAGATGCCTTCCTCACTTACTGTGAGTCGGAGCATAATCGAGTTTTCATCGAGGCACGTTACTTCATGTTGGGTTGGACCTCGATTCCTTTTAGGTTTGGCTGCGACACTTGTTCCGGCCAGGGTTTCAGGATTGTCTAGAGTGCAGGGTTTTTATAGGATGCTTTTAGGTTTAGCGTCCTACATTAGCCATTCGAGGAGGACAACCACTGGAACTTCTCGCTTTGCTCCCTTCGGTGACGGTTCCTGTTGTGCAACGCATACTGCAAAAGCAGATCTACAGCACAGCTGCTTGCAGAAGCAAACCCCACCACCCGCACCAGGCTTTGCCGTGGCCGCGCAGAGAATGCTATGAACACTGCAGAGCCGTGAAAGCAAACTTACACGGGATCTGAGCAAAATGTGCGAGATCTCTGCCTTCAGGAGGAGTCGCAAAAAACATCAGTCCTAATCTTACCCTCAATCACACTTGCTTGCTGTAAAAGTCACTGGATGTTGAAGGGGCCACAAGCCTTCTCGCTCTCTTCCCAAAGAATCTTTCTGGATTCCAGTTTCATGCAGACGGGCTCCATCTTAATCTTCTTTGGTTTGCCTCTGATGGCTACCCAGCCGTCTGGCTCGTAGAACTCGCCAGATTGCAAGCCTTCTTCAACACAGCACTTGAGAAGGGGCATGGTTCCATCTTCTCCAGATTGCGCAAAGCGCATCATGAAGGTATCTTCCTGGAACCCGTCCGCCGTGGCCGTGGCGACCAGGTTGGTGCGAGCCACCCCTGGGGCCGCGCAAAGTGCCTTCACCTTGGAGTTCTTGGCCCGCAGCCTCTCGTCCAAGGCCAGAGTGAAAATTGCATTGGCCAGCTTGCTTTGATGATACCTCTGAAAGCGGCCCCCGCCGAAAAACACCGAGTTACCGTTGCCACCCAAGTTGCCCCCATTCTTGCCCAGGTATTTGGCATCCAGCGGTGTACTCGGAAACTTCCGAGCGCCCGAGGAGTGGTTTACGATGCGAGCATCGCCTCGCTGCTCCGCTGCCTTCTCAAGAAGTGGATAGAGCTCTTTGGTCAGTAAAAAGTGCGAGAGGTGGTTGGTCTGCATCTGCACGTCATAGCCATCCTTGGTGGCCTCATCGGCCAAGGCCATGACACCAGCGTTGTTGCAAAGAATATCGATGCCCTTCTCTTCAAACATCAACTTGAGCTTTGCAGCTGCATCTCTAACACTCTCGAGGCTTTGAAGATCACAGGCCACCGAGGTCACATTGCTGCTTGAGGTGACTTCCAAGAGAGCTGCCTCGGCCGCCCTCGCGCGTTCGCTCTCGCGGTTCAGCATGACCACATGCGCCCCTTTCTTGGCAGCGGTCCTTGCCGCAACGAATCCCGTTCCAGTCGTGCAGCCTGTGATACACATGACCTTGCCTTCGAGGGATGGCAACTCTTTCTCAAAGTCATGAAACCATCGTGTCTTGGTGGTCGGGCTGCCCTTCCCGCAGCCGCAGCCCATCACTGAACTGCACCGGAATCCCGGACCACGAAGCTAAGGCCACTGGCTGTAAGCCCGAGCTCTATGTCACTCACTCACTCACTTCCTATCTTTCTTTCTTGCACAAAGACTGAGTGACGTTCCGGCGAGCAGGGTATTGGACATCGAAGGCTATGTGGCCGAGACGGAAGACGGGTATCCTGCCTGAAATTCTCGCTGTCCCGGTGGGCATAGAGGAAAATTGTCGCATCCGTAGGTTTCACGGACGCATCTGCCAAGCCAAAGTTGAGAACAAGCTGAGATCGAGCTCTGACAACTTGGCCCCGAAAAGCCCGGGCCGCTGCAAGTCCAGTTGCTTGCATATTACTCACTACTTGGAGGTTCATGGGTAGTTATAAGAGGAGTTATAAGTCCCCTAACATGGGTCATAATCACAGTTACCCTACTTATAACCCCACTCATAACTACCCATGAACCTCCAAATACCCTGCAGCAGCGCCCGGTACAGAAGCGGGGTCTGTCTTGCACAAACCTGGCCCAAAGTTTGCCACAGGACAGACAGGCCTCGATTTACGTTACAGGGTCCGCCATAGAGAGAAGGGTATTCGGTGTACCTCCACAGCTGCGACATACAGCCACCAAGGCACCACAGACTCACTGAGAATCCGTAGTACCTGTGTACAAATCAACTCAATCTTGCTGAGAACCCTCCAAAACACCTGTGACATCCCAGCAGCTGGAAACCCACATTCAACATGCCTTGTGTGCTACGACGGCTACGAGTACGCCACAGCCATCCTCGATCATAAAACTGCCAGCTGCAAATCTGAGCGGGCACTGCCACGGAACGGCGCCCATGAAAGCGAGCTGGCCACCAGCCCATTCCGGCAGAGACTGGCAGCAAAGGCCATGAAGGGCTGTGCCATTCATGGCTGTCTACATGAGGATATGCCGCCCTTGCACACCTCCCATCCTGCCCGGGTTTGCATGACAGGTCAGACCTCCAGTCGCCACCATGAGTACGGGTAGCAATCCTGCGCGTCAAGAGTCAAGAGTCACATAACATCACACGGTGCGCACATAGCTGCTCAACTTGCCACTCTCGCTTGTCTCGCGGCACGCGATGACGAGAGGCTTCGAAATCCCTTGCTGTGCAGTAATTGCCGCTCGGGTCTACGACAATCCAGTGCTTTGCCTGGACACGACTGCAGCCTTTGTGCATGTCATGAACGACCAACAAACGTTGACCGCTGTGTGAGAAAACAAGCGGAGCACTCAGACGTGCAGCGTGCTGGGCACCCGCCCATCGGCTCGCCAGAAGCTTGGGGACTCGAAGGGCCGACCAGGCGCCCTGGCGACCGCTACTGCCACAGCAGTTTCGAGGCTTTGGCTTCCTCCAATGTCACATAGCTCATGATCACGTCGTGGCATCGTGCGCAGAAACGGAGTTACATAGGCGAGCTCGGCACCATTGCGGGGGAGAGGCACGACTGTTGCAACTGGCGCACATTGAAACATTTTAGGCCCCGGCTGCATCAGGCGCCGCGCGTTCGTTAACATCGACTTGTAGTCCTGGGGATCAGTTGCAGTGGTCCCAGGAGGCCAGAAGCCATTGCATGCCATTGCCATGACCGCATCTTGCAGATCGGGCACTGAAGGTGGCAGGCCCATCGGATCAAAGGCCTCGGGAGGGCCAGATCTCAGCGACTCTACGACGTGCGTCTCAAAACAGAGCGAAGGAGCCTGCTTCACAGGGTCGATGCCGAAGGGATTCAGCCACCTTTCCTGGGAGGCTCGAGCCCCTTACGGGGTTTCGGGCTCAGCGGAACCTTAACCCCAAACTTGCAAAAAGAAACCACATGTCGAGTCAGGGACGCCGTGGTCACCATGGAAACTGTCGGCCAGCGCTCTGTCGCTTTGTGGCGCCGGCCTGGTCACCCATTTCTCAGGCAAGAGCCTGAAAAGACGGTGTCGCCGAGCCTTGAAGCTACATCACGGGTGTTTGTCGTGGGCCGAGGCACCTTGCAGCAGCATGACCGGAGTTTAATGCTCTTGCTGCAACGACTGCACACATTCGGGATGTAAAGCTAGAAGCTCAACCTTTTGTGCGGTGCGGTTGCGAAGCTCCTTCACCTTAGCTTTCCTACCGGCCCAGTTCGGGCAGTCGGCTGTGGCCTTCGACAGGCTCTACTCGTTAATCGTTGTCATGGTGACTGGAGGAGGAGATGAAGATATATGAAGATCAGGATGAAAAACAATCAGCCAACCTGAAAAGTCTCGAAAGACTCTTGACTCATAAGCCCCGCAGCACTGAGCCGACACCTGGCGGATGTCCGGCTCTGTCTGAATTTCCCGGCGCGCACGTGCCTGCAAGACATGAACACTCTCTGAGCACCCATGTTGCAAGCCCTCCAGACTTGCCCGCAGACAGCAATAAAAGTCTTCGCTACGATCTGGCGCGGACCTCTTCCAGTGGTGTCTCGGCGAGCCTGTTGAATCTGTCGAAGAGCGTAGGCTTCAAAAACAAGCACTAATAAGGCAGTTGCCGATGCCTCCTTGGCTGCTGGATCTTGCGCAAATCAGGCTGGTATTGAGGCAGTGCCTTCGGCGACCCGACCCGGAAACATGATACTTGTGGCACTACAGCAGGTTCATAGGTGGAGCGTGGAGAGCAGCTGACGAGGCTCCGGCAGGCGCAGTGAAGCCGGACCATCCCACTTGGCGGGTGCTGGGTGGGCTGGACCTGGGCTCCGGTTCTGGTTGAGTTTTGGGGTGGCAGCTGTGACCGCTTTCAAGTCGCTCAGAAGCAAGACGTTGGTGAGCGGAGGTGCTGCTGTGGTCCATTAGTCTTCCAATCATCATCATCATCATCATCATCATCATCATCATCACCGTCATCATCATCACCTTCACCATCATCATCATTATCATCATCGTCATCATCATCATCATCATCATCGCCATCGTCATCATAGT